GCCTTGGTGGGCGGATGGGTCCGATGGGTCGCGCACAGCTGCATTGTGCCGCCTCGTGGCCCGGCGCCCAGCGAGCCTCGGTGCGTCTGCTGCTTTCATTATTCTCCTGGATCGTGCAGAGGGCTTGGAGGGGATGCTCTCTAAGACCACCCGCTAAGGACAGAGATGAAGGTCCGGCTGGTTTGAATGCTGCCGTTCTTACCCCGCGGTGCTTGTTGAACTCTGGGGGTTATCCTGCACTTTGTGAATCTCACGAAAGTTACAGACCTTTCCCTCAAGATGTACATTTTCAAGTGTACATGTTTGTATATATTTTCAGGGAGTTCACCCCCCACCCCCCGCCAGTCCATGGATTCATTGTAATTTCCCAGCCACCCCATGAGGTAGGTCTTATTTTCTCTGTTGCAGAAATAAGGTAACAGACTCAGGGAAGTGGAGAGATTCTCGGAGGAAGCAACCCCAAGTTGGATGGGCAGGCTTACCTTCATTCCTGATTGCCAAGTCCTGCTTTGCTCTGCATTTGTGGCAGGCACTGTAGTAAGTGATGCCCGCTCTTTATTATGTGGCAGTAGCAATTTCACTTCACATCCTTGGACAGACTGAAAATAACTTCCAGTCTATTTAATACTAGAACTATAAAGATACTTTTCAAAATAGGAATATAAGGTGTAGATATAATCATTGTTTCCATTTAAATTGATTTATCAACTCCTTTGATTCTTACTGTGTAGTTACTTCAGCATTCCCTACTGATTAAACAGGTTAATTGGCCATAAGGAGCCTCTGCTTAAAATTTAGCGTCTTCAATGATGACAGTAATATCTAATATTTATTGAGCCCTTGCTTGTGTTCCCAACTATGTTTTCAAGGGCTTTACTTATTTATAGTAACAATCTCCTTAGTTAGGTACTATTGTTAGCCACATTTTACAGATGAGGAAACTGAGGGACAGAAAGGCTTAAGTAACCCACCAAGGAGACCCAGGTAATAAGTGTCCAGGCTAGTATTTGAGTCCAAGCAGTCTGGTTCTAAGTTCTGCATAGCTGCCTGTCAAAGAAAAGCTGCTGTTTAAAGCACAAATCTGTATAACGGCTTACTTGCTTTCTGAAGATGGTATATGTATTGTGCTTATGAAAACTTCATGAACGTAATTGATTTTTCTTGGTGATTAAAAAGAAACAAGGATATTTTAATACTTAAAGGTCATCATCCATTATGAGTATCACGTATTATGATGGCCTGAAAAAGCTTTTATGTTATTTGGATTCTCTTCATTGTAATTTACTAGATTTATTTGTGTACATTAGATAATTGAACACCCTTTCTGAGACTGAATTTTCCTGTATTGAAACACCTCATCCTAGGCAATGAATCTTTAATGATTTGGGAAGTATTTGATTAGTCAGCATGGACTATATGAGATTCTGGCCTTTGAGAATCTCTCCTCTCGCTTTTAAAAAAAAAATTTTATTGTCTCTTACCTTTTATGCAGCTATATGACTTTGACTTTCACAATCCTCTTCTCACGAATCCTCCAAGCACTTGGACAAAAAAAGCTGTTTTCATTCCGAGAACAATATCATTGGTCTGGCATAAGACAATTCAGCAATTGGTCAAAAACAGATCTGCTTCATGGGCACTGCCTCCTCAAAAGAAGAAAGCCTATTCTGTTATTGCAGGGAGGTCATCTAAGACCACGAGCCACCTGCTTTGTTTTCTTAGCAGGGTCGCATGTGGGACTCTGCAGTGGCCCACGTGAGATGGCTGAGCAACGATTCTGTGTGGACTATGCGAAGCGTGGCACAGCCGGCTGCAAAAAATGCAAGGAAAAGATTGTGAAGGGCATATGCCGAATTGGCAAAGTAGTACCCAATCCCTTCTCAGAATCTGGCGGTGATATGAAAGAATGGTACCATATTAAATGTATGTTTGAGAAACTGGAGCGAGCTCGGGCCACCACAAAAAAAATTGAAGACCTCACAGAGCTGGAAGGCTGGGAAGAACTGGAAGATAGTGAGAAGGAACAGATAACCCAACATATTGCAGGTGGGGTGGAGAACACAGCTTCTTATCTTGCTGGTGATGATAGAAAAAGGAATGCAGAGATTAGAATCTAGTTTTTCTTTCTCTTAAACTTCTTCCTTGGGAATAATGTTAGATTTACAAAAGTTATAAGAATAAAAATAGTGCAGGGCTGGGGATTTAGCTCAATGGTTCTGACACCTGCCTTGCAAGCACAAGGTCCCTAGTTTGATCCCTGGTACCAAAAAAATAAATAAAATAAAAATAGTGCAAAGGACACTCATGTTCCCTTTACCCAGTTGTTAATATTTTACTCTTTACTTTTATTTTATCATTTATGCTCATGTGCCCTCTTCCCTTACACACATACACACAGTTCTTTTAGTTTTATTCCCTGAACCATTTAAGAGCAGGTTGCATACATCGTAGCCCTTTACCTTTAAGTACTTCAATTTTTTTTGGTTTTGGCAGTACTGGGGATTGAACCCAGGTCCTTCACACTGAACTACATTCCCAGCCCTGTTTTATTTTTATTTGTTTTTTTTTTTTTTTTTTTTTTTTTTTTTTTGGTACCAGGGATTGAACTTGGGACCTTGTGCTTACGAGGCAGGTACAATCTGTATATTGGTCTATTGATTGAACATTAAAGAGATTCCCCCCTACTTTCAGCAGTCTAGAATCAAATTGGGTACTATATTTAGTTGTCATATCTCTTTGCCTTTTTTTTAATCTGGGACATTTCCATAGTCTTTATGACATTGACATTTTTGAAGAATAGAGTATCCACTACCACTCCTTTTTGTCTATCACTTATCTATATAGGGTTCTAATTTTTCCCAGTGTTTTATTATTATTTTTTTTTTGAGACAGGGTCTCACTATGTAGTTGAGACTGACCTGAAACTCACTATGTAGCCCAGGCTGGTCTCAAACTCACAGCGATCCTCCTGCCTCAGCCTCCTGAGTGCTGGAATTACAGGTGTGCGCCACCACGCCGGCTTATAATTCATTATTGTACTAAATTTAGTTTTTAGTTGGCCTCTATTTTGTCAGTTAGCTCCTTCAGCTGGCTTCTATATCTTGTAAACCCTCTCTTTTAATTTATTTATTTGCTTGTTTATTTACTTTCTTTGTGATACTGGGAAGTGAACCCAGGACCTCTGGTATGACCTTCTTTCCTACCCCACCCCCTTTTTTGTTTAATTTTGAGATGGAGTCTTGCTAAGTTGTTCAGGCTGGAATGGAACTTATGTTCTCCTTCCTTCGCCTCCTAGAGGGTTGGGACTACTGGTATGTGCTACCAAGCCCTATTCACCCTTCTTTTTATTTTGAGATGGAGTCTTGCTAAGTTGTTCAGGCTGGAATGGAACTTATGTTCTCCTTCCTTCGAGGGTTGGGACTACTGGTATGTGCTACCAAGCCCTATTCACCCTTCTTTAAAAAAAAAAAAAAAAGAAAGAAAGAAAGAAAAGTTTAAACTAGGTGTGGTGTTGCATACCTATAACCCCAGCATTTTGGGAGGCTGAGTCAGAAGAATCACTGCAAGTTCAAGACCAGCCTGAACCACATAGGCACTGCCTCAAAATATCAAAAACAAAAAAAATTTAAAGTTTTTCTTTTGGCTTTTTGAGACAAGATCTTGCTATATAGTTTAGGCCAGCCTTGAACTTACTGTGTATTTCTGCACTTGGGCATAACTAGATGCTTTCTTGTCTTGTATGTATCCTAATCTATCCTTTGGATCAGCCATTTTTCTAAGGAGTCTAGGTCCCTACTAATGGAAAATGGTATTAGGAGCAAAACCCTGAGCCGGGTGTGGTGGGACATGCCTGTGATCTCAGTACTTGGGAGGTTGAGGCAGAAGGATCACAAGTTCTAGTGCAAGCTGGTCTACATAATGAGCTTGCGGCTAGCCTGAGGGCAAATCTGAATGCTACAGGTTCTCTTTGACTTTAAGTGTCTAAAATAATATTCATATCTTTAAGCACATGCTGCTATTCAGGGTGGAACATTAGCTCTGAAATTGGGTATCTATCCTTGTTCCTTGAGACGAGAGATTTCCCGGAGAGAAAACCATCACATGCTTCATTCTCAAGTTCCCCATCCACCCTCCCCTGCCGTGGCCCTTGGCCTCAGTCTTTTCTATCTCTCATTCAAGGAAGAGAAATAACATACAAGTGAACTCACATGACTCCTATAAGTTAACAGCTAAGAGTTTTCCTACCTATGCCAAATGGACATACTCTGTGATCTAGTTTTGTCCCTTTGGTTCATTTATAAATTAGAATTATTCTATGAACTGAGGCTTTCTACGTTTTATCTATCACAAAGTGATTGCTGATTTCTTTAAAATCCTGTCACTTCTGAAGATTATTGTATGTGGGATAAGAGGTGGAAAGCGCTGGTGAGAATTTAAGCTACTTAAAGGGCTAAATGGTAAGTGGGTCTTTTCTCTGCATAACAGTCTTTTCTTCCTTCTGCCCAATACCCTGTTACCTATTGCCTTCACTCAAAAAGAACAGCCAGTGACCAGTCAGCCTTGGGGCAATGTGATAGTGACTTAGCAAACTCTAAGAGTCTTTGAAAGCTTCCTCAGAGATCTTTCACTGAAGGATATTTTCCCTTTTCTGGGGGCCCTACAGATCTATCTTCTAAGGCAGCAAGTGCACCAAAGAAAAAAGCTGTTGTCCAAGCTAAGTTGACAGCCACTGGCCAGGTGACATCCCCAGTGAAAGGCTCTTCGTTTGTCACCAATACCAATCCCCGGAAATTTTCTGGCTTTTCAGGTAAGTTAAACTGGGGCTACTTTAGTTTTTATGGTCCTCTTTTTATTTAGGGCTCTCACTAAATGAAAATTCTATTCTTTCTAGTCTCATTAATTTGTTTCTATTTGGACACAATTAAGTAATGGCTAATCATGAGGGCTCCCCTCTGGTGTAATAGGCAGATTTTTGTTTTTGTTTTTGTTTTGTTTTTTTATTTTGGTACCAGGGATCAAACTCCAGTCCTTGTGCTTGTGAGACAGGCACCAAAACCACTGAGCTAAATCCCCAGCCCCCCAGCCAGATTTTTATAACCTGCCCAGTATTTATGTTGTGTAATGAAAGACCTTTGAAAAACTGTCTCCCTAAACTTGCCTGAATTAGAAATGAAAGTGTGGAAGAAGGGAGATTCATGCATGGACCGTATCCCTTGATTTCTTAGTTCTTACAACTGTTCAAATGGTTGGAATGCTTGTGGAGCATGGAGCAAGAAGGAAAAAGGGATCTGAAGGGTATTGCTCTCTGTTGGGGAGCAGTGCAGCCTAGTGATGAAGCATTGTGAGCTTCAGAGTCAATGGGCTTGGGATCCAAATCCCATTTCTTAAAGGATTGAATTGTGCCTATTTGTATCTTCTTGGCAGGGAGATGAGTAGTAAAGTGTTTTGTTTTCACACACAGATTTATAATTATACACATGTACATATTATGATTTATGTAACTTTACCATTAAAATTACAGTTTCATAGACAGGGATTCAAGAAAATTTTGCTAGAGCACTTGTGGAGGAGAATTGAGAGGTCCAGGATTTTTGGTTGCCCTTCCCCAACAGATAATTGTTGGCATAGTACAGTGGTGGTGAACCTTTGTCCTGTGTGCTGCAACAGGCTGTTATCATTTTAAAACTTTGAAAGATTTGCCGTCACTGACCTAGTGGCTTTATTTGTTCTTCAGCTAATCCTAGAAAGTACTTTTTTAGACCCACTTTATGAATGAGAAAGCCAAAGTTCAGATTCCTGATGGAGTTGGTATTTGCACTGTTGGTATTTGATGCTAGTACCTGTGTTCTTTTACTCTAAACCCTGTTTTCTATTTTATTGTTTGAGACATTCTTGTGGTTAACTCTGTTGAAGCCAATAATAGTACCAGACTTCTTGGACTCAGAAGCTCTTTGGAGATTGACAGAAATTTTGTGTGATCAAAAGAGACTTAGACCTGAAGTCAAAAGACTTGAGGTCTGGTCCAAGCACTCCTGCTTGACACCTTGGAACTAAGCAAGTCTTCACATGTCTGAGCCTCTGTTGCTTCATCTGTGAATCAGGAGTGGCAACATCTGCCTCATCTACCCCAGTGTTCTCATGAGGATTGAAAGAAATAACTGCAAAAATAGTGCCTGGCTTTATAGGATTTCTTTATTTTAAAACTGATGTTTGTTGGTTGTCTGACAGTAGGCCAAAGATACAGAGGGTTCAGGTGACGAGGACAGAATGATTCTGGAAGGGCTCTGATGTTAGGAATATCTTATCCTTAATAGGAATATCTAATCCCTATCCTTGGGGATAGCTTACCTCTGATATCTTTTTTGTTTGTTTGTTTGTTTGTTTGTTGAGACAGGGTCTCACTATGTAGTTGAGACTGACCTGGAGCTCACTATGTAGCCCAGGGTGGTCTCGAACTCACAGTGATCCTTCTGCCTCAGCCTCCCCAGTGCTGCGATTACAGGTGTGCGCCACCACGCCCGGCTTACCTCTGATATTTTAAGGGTGGAATTTCGGAGGAGTTGAAACAAGAAGTTCTCATTCTTAAATCCTAAGCACTGACATTTCAGATATTTTGTCCCCTAAGATCTGATTTAGACTAGATAGAGATGATGATGGATTTATAATAGTCAGAGCCTAGACATGAAGTTTATATCAGCAACCAGCTGTATAATGGTCTGCTTTTCTTTTTTCTTTTTTTTTTAATTAACTTTTTTGAGACATGGTCTTGCCATGTAGTTCAGCTGTAGTCCACACTAGCCTCAAACTGAACTCATAGCACTCAGCTATCCTCCTGCCTCAGCATTCCAAGTGCTGGGATTACAGGTGTGTGCCACCATACCCAGCTTGATTCTGTTCACAGTTTTGTGGGGTTTTTTTGTTTTGTTTTTGGTACCAGGGATCCAACTCGGGTCCTTGCGCTTTTGAGGCAGGCCGTGGAATCACCAAGCTGCTTTTACTTTGTAAATAGTCATTGGAGGTGAGGTAATCACTAAGAAAGGACATAGTTATTTTTAGTGTCTGGAGGAAAGCTCTGCTCATTGACTACTTTATTTTTATAGTAAGAAAGGTTAGAGTGGTGAGAGGAAGGACTGTTGAGGCCTGACTTGGTTGGTAGTATGTTTGTCCAGTTACTGCCACCAAGGACCTAGATGATCCCGGAAGTCATCTGCTCTTTTTGGGCCTGGGTCTCATCAGAGGGAGGTCATCGAGGTAGATAATCTTTCAGGCTTCTTCCAGCTCTGACAGTCTGTCATAGCGATAAATTCACATTGAGTAACACGTCCCTTGATTTCTTCTCCCTTTCTCATCTCAGCTTTTCTAGGGTATACATTACAGTTAGATCCTCCTGACCGTTCTTGGCATGAAAGCAGCCTTTGTTCCTCTATGAAATGCTCAAATAAACAGACAGTGGTCCTGTCTTCTACTTGGGTGCGTGGAGATCATTGTTGCTTTTCTTTTAATAGCTAGGAGATTTGGGGAGATTACTTGACCTCTCTTTCTTTACCTGTAACTTGTATACAATGATATCTACCCAAAAGTCCTCTTTGGGAAGATTAAGTGAAACTACATATAAAGCACCAGCAGAATTCCTATTAGTTTCCTTTCTTCCTTTCTTTTCTTCCCTCCCAGAAGGGCAAAATGAAACGTCTGTGTTGTTTCTCTTTCCAGCAGCCAAGCCGAACAACTCTGAGCAAGCCCCCTCAAGCCCAGTCCCTAAGACAAGTCTCTCTTCAAGCAAATGTGACCCCAAGCACAAGGATTGTCTGCTACGGGAGTTTCGGAAGCTGTGTGCCATGGTGGCTGATAATCCTAGCTACAACACAAAGACCCAGATCATCCAGGACTTTTTGCGGAAAGGCTCAGCAGGAGGTGAGGCTATGAACCGTGGCTGGCTTCCTGGGTATATGAGGAGTGCAGTTGCACAGAAGCCAATGCTTGTTTTAACATTCTGCTGCTGCTGTCTGAAATTCTTACTAATTGTGAAATAGGGGTCCCATGTTTGAATTGTGCAGATCCCATTTTGCGGAAAGGCTCAGCAGGAGGTGAGGCTATGAACCGTGGCTGGCTTCCTGGGTATATGAGGAGTGCAGTTGCACAGAAGCCAATGCTTGTTTTAACATTCTGCTGCTGCTGTCCTGAAATTCTTACTAATTGTGAAATAGGGGTCCCATGTTTGCATTGTCAGCAGATCCCACAAATTATGTAGCTAACTCTGGCTCAGAGTGCTTTAACATCGTTCTTCCATGCACCTTTATTTTGCTCCCACAAGGCCAGAAGAACCCACCCCACATGACCAATAGGAGAATTTACTGCCACATACCTTTGAAAAGAGTCTTTGTGCACTTTTTTTTTTCCTCCTTGCGGTACTGGGGATCAAACTCAGGACCTTGCACTTGCAAGGCAGGCATGTTGCCACTGAGCTAAATCCCCGGCCTACATGCACAGTCTGGAATAAAGTCTTCCAATTTTATTTCTTTCATTTGTCTAATAAATTGTCATGGAGCATCTGTATGTAATGTGTTACTGGGGATAAGAAGTGAAAGTCATGGCTCTGCCGGGTAAGAGTTCATCCATGGGCAAAAGATGAGGCAGACACACAAATTACTAGTTCCTGATCTCTGGCGTCCTGTACTGTAATGATATGTGCAGGGAGCTTAGGAAGCAGTGTGCATATCTCTTTTCAGTCTCTGCTTCCCTGAGTTTATATATGTATTTATTCAAACTCCATTTCTCAAGAAGGGCTCCTTCTGTCTCCAGATGGTTTCCACGGCGATGTGTACCTAACAGTGAAGTTGCTGCTGCCAGGTGTCATTAAGAGTGTTTACAACTTGAATGATAAGCAGATTGTGAAGCTTTTCAGCCGCATTTTTAACTGCAACCCAGATGATATGGCACGAGACCTAGAGCAGGTCAGGAGGACTGGAGGGGAGGCCATGTTGCAAGAGGGTTCTGCCCAGCCAGGCACCTGCAGCCATTTTTTTATGGTTGGGCACATGCTGTTTTAGGGTACTGAAACCTACTTGAGCAAGCTTGCATTAGGAGAGCGCTGTTAATTTCTTAAGTTTCTAAGGACTGAAACCACAAAAGGTCTTATCTCAAAAGTCAGAAGTTGAGACTTTTTTCTGCCTGTCCTGGGCCTCTTTATCTGTGGACATTTTCTCCTTGCTTTCCTCTCACCTGTACTTGGGCTTACATTCAACTTTGGTTTGTTTGTGACTCTAGCCCTGGCACTCGGAAGTTTCCACCCAAGCAGCCCCATTTTCTGAGGACTGTATTTGTCTCTTAATTCAAATTCATGAGCATGAAATCAAATTGGCTCAGCCCCAGATAAGTGCCGTGTCTCTTCCAGTTGAGTCAGGTGGCATATCCTATGTGGACAGACTTGTCCCTTCTAGGAACCATGAATGGATAGAGTCTCTAAGGAGGAGGGAGGTAGATATGTTAAGTTGGAAACAAGAGCCTATGATTGAAGTTTCTTGATTAATCTTTAGTTCTGAGATCTTAGAGGATACACCTGATCACCTGGGGTTGCAGCAGTGGCATTTTGGTTTTTGGAGACAGGGTGACGTATCAGAGACGATCAGAGTCTTCTTTGAGCAGAGCAAGTCTTTCCCCCCAGCTGCCAAGAGCCTCCTTACCATCCAGGAAGTAGATGAATTTCTCCTGCAACTCTCCAGGCTCACCAAGGAGGATGAGCAGCAGCAGGCCCTGCAGGACATTGCCTCTAGGTAGGGAGTTGTGCCAGTAAGCCAAACCCAGTGGGGAAGTGCTTTCAAGATGAAATAGGGAAGGAGTGTTTGGGGATACAGAGCTCCTCAGAGATCAAATTGAATGCTTCATTCCCTTAGGTGTACAGCCAATGACCTTAAGTGTATCATCAGGTTGATCAAACATGATCTGAAGATGAACTCAGGTGCAAAACATGTGTAAGTACCAGCTCTCCTCTGACAGCCTGAACTGATACATTCCTGTATTTTCAGCTATTGTGAGGACTTTGGGCTTTTTTTTTGGTAGTACTAGGATCTTCACACTGAGTTACGTCCTAGCCCCTTTAATACAGAATGTCACTGTAGAATGTCACTGTAGAATGTCTAGGCTGGGCTCAAACTTGTAATCCTCCTGCTCAGCCTCCCAGAATATTATGAAGTGAAAGTCATAGCTCTTTTGAACAAGGCATGTATTACCATGCCCTGTTCCAGTCTGGATTTGAATCCTTATTTCACTTAGTTCTTGTGGGACCCTAATCCTGTTTCTACCTGCATTTTCTCACAGGTTAATCTATGTGAAACAAAGACTTGTTATAATTGAAAATTATAACAGTAAGTTTAGGATGAGTCTCTTACCATGTTACCCCTACTTCTGCAAAAGCTGTTTCCAAATGGGCACAAGGTCTCAAAAGGAATTTTTAGGGCCAGGGATGTAAGCTCAGTGGTGCTGTGCCTGTCTGGCAAGTACAAGGCACTGAGTTTGATTTCCAGTACCAAAACAAACAAAAACCCTGAATTTTCTCAGAGTTTTTCTCCTCCTGTAAAGAGATTATAACACAACTACTTCTACAAAGATAAGGATTTCTCCTCTCTGTGAGGACAGGCTGCTGTCCAAAGCCATAGTGTCAAAGCTTTTGTTTTCTTGCTTCTATCCCCCTTGGCAGTTTAGATGCCCTTGACCCCAATGCCTATGAAGCTTTCAAAGCCTCACGTAATCTGCAGGATGTGGTGGAGCGGGTCCTTCAAAATGAGCAAGAGGTAGAGAAGGAGCCAGGCCAAAAACGGGCTCTGAGTGTCCAGGCCTCGCTGATGACTCCGGTGCAGCCTATGCTGGTAAGGAGCAAGCCCTGCCTTTCCTGTTGCCTGTGCCTGGCCTAGGTGCACGTCTTTTAGGGGTGGGTTTTGACAGACTGTGAGAATGAATTGGGGAAGGAAGAGTAGAGATGTGGCGGAGGCTGTGCTGGGAGAAGCAAAGGCACAACAGCCAGTGGTCCAGTAGCATAAACTGAGCCACATTCCCAGCCCTGCCAATAGCTGTAGTCTTGGACTTGTTCCCTAGCCTCTTGGTCGTTAGCTTCCTGGTGAGACTTTGAAAACACCCGTCCAGTCTTACCTGAAGACAGGAAGTGTTCAAGAACCCCTGAGCTCTGTAACCCGCTATAGGGTAGATGCGAGTTGTTAGCACAGCTAGGCTTTTGTGATGGGGTGACTCGGGAAGGAGAGAAAGCTTAAAGAGTGAAGATTAACTCCAGCAGAGGTAACTTGTGCTCTTGCTCATTTCACGAGACAACAGGGGCTTTCCTTTCTGGCATTGGTTTTTCTCTGCAGTAGGACCCGCTGCATATGCTAGCATGCCTACTGTAAGGCCCTTTGGCTTTCCCTAGTGGTATACAGTGTCTAGTTTTAAAACCATCTTCTGTATTGTAGTAACTCTTAGTTTAGGGTTCAGTGTTTTGGAAGGAAAGTGCTGTCTTCCAGGAATGTGGGATGGCCAGCATCAAAATAGATCTCCATCCCAGGGACAGGACCCCCTAGCCTTCTGAAATAATGGCCTTTCTTTTATAAGAATTCCTTCTGGAGTCTGTTCATTTGAAGCCTATCCCTTAAAAAAATGCCATGGGTTATATAGCTTAGCGCAGTGGTGGCAAACCTGTGGCACGCATGCTGCATCCAGCTGTTTGTTGTCATGGAAAGCTGTATAAGTTCACCACCACCAGCTTAGTACACATAGACTTTGGAGTTGGGCCTACAGCAGTAAGGGCAAATCTTGTAGAGTTTTCAGTGATAACAAACAGCCAGGTGGGACATATGTACCATGGGTTTACCACCACTGGCCTAGAGTGAGATCTTATTCCTGCTACTTATTATATATAACTATAAGTAAGTACTATACTTAGCACTCTGACCTTGAGTTTTCTCAGCCATGAAATGAGAATAATATTTGTCATGAAGATACCGTATCAAACAAAGATGAAGTGAGATCATATACATGACCTGACGATAACACAAAAATGTTGGTTGTGTCAAGATAGTATGGGTAGGCCGAGGATTTAGCTCAGTGGTGCCGGTGCCTGCCTTGAAAGCGCAAGGACCTAAATTCAATCCCCAAAAAAAGATAGCACAGGTATGTGAGTGACCACTCCTGTGTCTGGATGTCCTTATCACTGTCACCCTGCCAGCCTCAGTGTCACCTGCACTCTTCACTCTTACCCCCTACATACTGCTTGTGCTGAAATAACCAATGGATTTGATAATAACCCAGAGGCACTGCAAAACCTCAATTATTGAGGGGGGAAAAATCCTATTTCAGAGGGAAATATTCTATAATAAGTAGCATTCATCTTCCCCAAAGTCAACTCTGTGTCAACTCTGACAATGATTTTATAGTCAGGGCATAATGTTGCCCAGCCCTTTCCATTTCCATCTCCTCTTCCACAGCCTTCCCTGAGCATGCACTAAGGGCAGTCAGTCCCAGGAGCTAGGTCTTCTTCTGACTAATCCAGTTTGGGACTTTTTGTGTCTGCCAAACAGCCACTCATTGAAAAAGTCTCCTAGCTTTGCTTTCTCCACCCTAGGCAGAGGCCTGCAAGTCCATCGAGTATGCAATGAAGAAGTGTCCCAACGGCATGTTCTCTGAGATCAAATATGATGGTGAGCGGGTCCAGGTGCATAAGAATGGGGAACACTTCAGCTACTTCAGCCGCAGTCTCAAGCCTGTCCTGCCTCACAAGGTAGTAGTCCTTTCCACCAGGACTCTCTTTCCCCTTCTCCCCCTAAGAGTCTCAGGGCCAGGATTTTATAGCTCTTCCAGTTCATAATAGGGAATTTGATTATTTGTTATATAAATAGATGAATTCATTTTTTGAGTCTTCCAACAATGACCAGTGTCCAGACTTGAGTTAGGACAGAACTCCCTGGGACAGCAATAATTCTCTCACTATGCTCTTGGGACATGAGCTCATTTGGTGAGTGCTATGCAAAGTCTTCTGCGTTTCCATGTTTCATGTGCTCCAAGCTAGATTACAAGTCATGTACAAGGGGTTGTTGCTCATTATATGTTCAACCAGTACTTATGCATGGTTGTAGCTAGTAGGCAGATAGGAGTGGGAAAAAATGAACAAGAATTCTGACCTTTAAGAAGCTTATGTCTGATATGAACACATTACCATGGGGACACTTGGGAGCCCAAATTCCTACCCTAATGTTGGCAGTGAGACCTTATTCTTCAGTCCCTCAGTCCCCAATGCTAAGGCTTTGGGGTGTCTTCAGGAAAAAGCTTGCTGGAACATGTAGCACCAGTAGGTTGTGAGTAGATGAAATTGGCCTTGCTAGCTTCTTTCCTAGCTCCAGCTCAGTTTTTGAGTCCCAGGGAACCTGGCAGGGGATGCAGGCTTGTGGATCCTCTCTCCTCCTGCCTCCCATGAGGGTTGCGCCACCTATTGCTCTTTTTCCAGGTGGCTAACAAAGCCTGGCTGTTACGTTTTGCAGCTTAGCTGGGCTTCTATGTTTTTTGCTCTATATCCTTTCTGGGATCTAGCCTTTCATCTGTGGCTTGGTTTTGGATCCCTCACCAAAGCTATCTCTCTACTTCCAGGTGATCCACTTTAAGGACTACATCCCCCTGGCTTTTCCTGGGGGCCATAGCATGATCTTGGACTCTGAGGTACCCCTGATTGACAACAAAACAGGCAAACCACTGCCCTTTGGGACTCTGGGCGTGCACAAGGTACTGGCTTAGGACCGTATGTACAGAAGTAAATGTATATGTGCTCATATATGCTGTCAGTTTGAGACCGGGAGGAATACGTTATTTATGGTAGGGTTTATTTGCTTCTGGACTATGTCTGAATTTAGTCTTAAATTTAGATGTCTTTTTTTTTTTTTTTTTTTTTTTTTTTTTTTTTTTTTTTTTTTTTTTTTGGTCTCTGTTTTTTTGTTTTTTGTTTTTTTGAGACAGGGTCTCACTGTGTAGTTGAGACTGACCTGGAACTCAGTGCGTAGCCCAGGCTGGTCTCGAACTCACAGCGATCCTCCTGCCTCAGCCTCCCGAGTGCTGGGATTACAGGTGAGCAACACCACACCCGGAGAGATGTCTTTTTTTTGTTTTGTTTTAAATAAAAAGCTGCTATTAGGAATCCATTTATAATTGAGTTGGTTCTATTCTTACTGTTAGTCAGCTTTTGGTCTTTATAAAAAAATACTTGAGGGGCTGGGGATTTAGCTTAGTGGTTCTGCTGCCTGCCTTGCAAGCACAAGGTCCTGAGTTCAATCCCTGGTACCAATAAATAAGTAAATACATACATACATGCATACCTGAGGTAGTTAACATATAAAGAGGAAAGGTTTAATTTGGCTCACAATTCTAGAGGTTCCAGTGCAAGATCAGAAAGGCTTATTGCTTTGGACCTAGGCAGCACATCGTAGCAGAAGGACATGGAGAGAAAAACCGCTTATGAGCATGGGAGCAAAGAGAAAGAAAAGGGCCAGAATCCCACAGTCCTCTTGCCGGGCTATACCCGTAATCACCTAAGGACCTGCCACGAGGGCCCACCTCTCAGAGGGTGCACCACCTCCCAGTAGCACACCCTGGAGCTAAACCTTTAACACATACGTCTTTGGGTGATACTCAAGATCCACGCTATAGCAGGCACCATCTGCTGAGTATCCTTATGGATAACGTGTGTCAGAGCACAAAATAGGACTTCACATCAGGTGCTTCAGAGGGCCTTCAGAACCGGACTGGTACTCCCCCGAGTGTCATGCCTTCTCACTTTGTCCATGTCCTACCTCTTTTTCCCTTCTAGAAAGCAGCTTTCCAAGATGCTAATGTCTGCCTGTTTGTTTTTGATTGTGTCTACTTCAATGATGTCAGTTTGATGGACAGGTGAGTTGGTCAGCATCTTTTTATTTGGGTGCTGTGAATTGAACTGAGGTCCCTGTATGTGCCAACATGTGCTGTACCACTGAGCTATTCCCTCAGCCCTGGCCAACATCTTTAAATCCAGGAGCCTTATATTAATTTCCTGAATGGAGATGTAAGTTATTCAGTTGGGAAGGAGGGAGGGAAGCCCAACCCTCACTCAACATGAGGAAGACTCCATCCTCTCTCTTTTTAAGCTTAGAGGTTTTGATTTCAGAAGCTGACAATGGGAAGCTTCTGATGTAGGGGAGGCATCCCATCTTGCGGTAAGCCAATAGTCTTGACTTAGCTACACCTAAAGGCTTGGGCTGGAGAAACTACTATTGACCCTTTCCACACTTAGAAATGTATTGCTATTCCCTACCCAGCAGCTGCCACATCCTTTATTGTGGAAATAAGCAGAACAAAGAATGAGTGGGGTAGGAGTTGGATTTGTGGCCTGTGGCCTGGGTCAGCCTGGTGAGCCAAAGACCAGCCAGCCTTGGGGTAGAGGTGCATAAAAAACAAGTTAGAGTTGTTTTTCCAGTAGAACCAGAATTTATACAATCTGGGCTAGGGGCCAGTTCTTCCTTGGCTCAATAAAGTAGAAACAGGAATGCAAACTATGAACTGGCTCTTTGCCCCTTTTCCATCTTCGGTCATGATACAGTCAGTCCTTGGAGCCCCTTTACAGCAGAACTTTTACATAGGAGAGCTTGAATACAAGACAGAACTGCTCATGAAGCAGCAGTTCTATCATTGTGCTCCTTCCCTCAGAATTCTTCATAGGGATGAGAGGATTCTTCCTCAGCTCTCCTGTCCCCCTTAGGCCCCTGTGTGAGCGGCGGAAGTTTCTTCATGACAACATGGTTGAAATTCCCAACCGGATCATGTTCTCAGAAATGAAGCAAGTTACAGTAAGTGAAGACCCTGCACCAAACAGGGTCCTAGTGGTTTGAAAGCAGGGCAGAAAACCCCTTGGATCAAGTGTGAGAGAGTGTGTCCTACTTATTCTCTAATGAGAGCTGCTGAGGTGTTTGCTTTCGACTGTTATGTCTACCAGTCTCACCCAGGAGGGCAGGGCATGAAAATCCTTCCGAGGTAAGCACCCTGTGTCTCAGAGCCACAGGAGCTGTCTGGTTGGGAACCTCCTCCTTTTGCAAACCCTTTGTTTCTTATACTAAGTGGGCACTTAACTAGTGTGAAGAAATGGGTAACTGCCACTTTGCTCCCTTGCCACTATCCTCAGTCTGTCTTCTGTTGTCCCTCAGAAAGCTTCGGACTTGGCGGACATGATAAACCGAGTGATCCGGGAGGGGTTGGAAGGTCTGGTGCTGAAGGATGTGAAGGTGAGGCAGTCACACCCTTTGCTTTCTCCTGCAGATTCTAAGCTTTCTCCCGAGCATTCCCCATTCTGGCCAGATAGCAGTGGCATCTGAGGTGCCTGGGGGTGGAAGCTGAGGAGCCTTTCCAGGGTTTGACCACATGTGTTCTGATCTGGAGGATGGATTTCATGTCTCTTGTAGTAGCTAGAGCCTAAAGGGTCTTCCTAGTTGGGCTGGACTCTGTGACATCGTGTGTGGAGTGCTGCATACTGGATCTGGTATGCAGTGGTGAAGAGGTAAATCTGCCCTCGTGGAATTTCCATTCTAGTGTGTGATCTTTTGTGTCCATTTAGGGTACATATGAGCCTGGGAAGCGGCACTGGCTGAAAGTGAAGAAAGACTATTTGAATGAGGGGGCCATGGCCGACACAGCTGACCTGGTGGTTCTTGGGGCCTTCTATGGACAAGGCAGCAAAGGTCAGTGGCATCTGGCTCCAGTGATGGTGCACTTGGAAGGCACCCTGTGACGTATAGGTTGACCTTCTTACTGGCTTTGTGTGTCAGCATGGCCACTCATGACTTTCTAGGCCCTCAGACCTAGGATCCCAAGTTGACCCGAATCACATCAAGCAGGGGCATCTAGGAGCTATGGAAGTGAGCACAGAGAGGTTGGACAAGAATATCCTGTGCTGTCTTGGAACAAGGAATGTTACCACCAGCTATTTCTTTGGGACGTGAAAGTATTTCCTTTTCAGAGAAAATTTTGACTGGAGAGGAAAATGGAATCTGTAAAACAGTTTCAGGTGATCTACTGTGTGACAGACACTATTCAGTTACCCATAGCTCAGCAGGTTGGGTATGATTATCCTTAATTTATTGTAGAGAAACTGGGGCTTATCAAGGTTAAAAATCACACAGGATTCGAGGCGTGTTGGTGCACACCTATAATCCCAGCACTTGGAATGCTGAGGCAGGAGGATCATCATGAGTTTGAGGCCAGCCTGGAATACAGAGCAAGACCCTGTTTCAAAAAAAAAAAAAAAAATCACAGGTTAGGGGGCATGTAGCTCAGCAATAAAGTGCTTACCTAGTTTTACAAGGCCCCAGGTTCAATCCCTAGCACTAAAGAAAACAAAACAAAACAAAACACTTGAAAGAGGTAGATCCAGGGGCCAGGGATGTAGCTCAACAGCGCCAGGCCTGCCTGGCAAATGCAGGGTCCTGAGTTCAATTCCTGGGATCCCTCAAAAAAAACTAAAGTAGATCCAAGAGGTCAATTCTGGAATTCTGATGCCACAGCCGAGCCTGTCCACCAGGCTGCTTCTCACTGGGTATGTGGGGCTAGCAGAGATGGCTCACACTCAGCCCATACTCCTCTCCCAGGTGGCATGATGTCGATCTTCCTCATGGGCTGCTATGACCCAAGCAGCCAGAAGTGGTGCACAGTCACCAAGTGTGCAGGAGGCCACGATGATGCAACACTTGCTCGCTTGCAGAAGGAACTGGACATGGTGAAGATTAGCAAGGTGAGGAAGGGACCTGGTTGACTTGACTTCTGGACAGGCCAGCATTAACAAGAAAGGCTGTGCTTCTGGTACTGCAGATAACCATTTATCTCTCTGCCCCAGAGTAAAGTGATACTTGGCCATGGGAGCAGCATTAGGCCTTAAAACCTCTGAGTGCCTGGCTAGTGGACAGTGGCCTGCATACCCTGTAGGACACATCTGCTCTGTGCAGGAAGGCCTACATCAGGCATGAGGGCTGACTTTTACTTAAGGCATAACTCACAATTTAAACACCAAGAGAGGGGCCTAAGATTTGTTCCACCTTAGGAACAGCTCAGAATAGTATCTTCTCTCTTCCAGGACCCTAGCAAAATACCCAGCTGGCTGAAGATCAACAAGATATACTATCCTGACTTTATCGTTCCAGACCCAAAGGTATCAGCCCAGTGGTTGTGTTCTTCCAGACCACAGAATTAGATTGTAGTTTCTCTAGTGCCACAGTAAGTTTTCCTAACCTCACTGAAAGTCCATCAGGGATGGGGATCTGGATTATTCTGCCAAGTGACAGGCACAGGGATGACCAGCCAACACAGAGATTGTCATCAATAGAAAGGAAGTGAGTACTCATTCCCTCCTCACAGAGGTGTCTGTTCAAGAAGAAATCTGGCGTAGTCCCTTGAATTTATAGGTTCGGGGAGACAAGACTGTCCTAAGGTTACCAAGTAGCAGCAAGACTATCCAGCAAGTCTCCCAGCCGGGAGCCAGAGCAGCTGTGGTTTGAGCCGTTCTGTATTGGTCCTGGTTCTGGTTCTGGTTGGTGGGAAATATTTCCTCCTTCACCAGTGATGGACCTACCTGCCTCCCTCCCAACAGAAGGCTGCCGTGTGGGAGATCACAGGAGCAGAATTCTCCAAATCTGAGGCACACACAGCTGATGGGATCTCCATTCGATTCCCTCGCTGCACCCGAATCCGGGATGACAAGGACTGGAAATCTGCCACCAATCTCCCCCAACTCAAGGTGCCAGCTCTTAAACTGTGCATTTTTTTGCTCTCCCGCATAACCTGGCTTCTTTCCCCCATTACATTGAGACAGAGCAAGGAGGGCAGTTAGGGAGGCCAAGCCAGCTCTCAGCTGCCTCCAAGCAGCTGCAAGAAAGCTAGTTCCTTTTTTCCCTATTTGTTTCCTAGCTAAATGTGCCTAAAACAGACCACTATGAGCCCAGTGTCTGGGGAAGGGGATGGCAGCGTGCAACCTGCTCCCTCTCCTTCTCAGGAACTGTACCAGCTGTCCAAGGAGAAGGCAGACTTCACTGTAGTGGCTGGAGATGAAGGGAGCTCCACTACAGGAGGCAGCAGTGGCGAGAATGAGGGCACCTCGGGGTCTGCTATTTCCCACAAGGCACCCAGAGCCTCCCCCAAAGCTGTCAGTGCTAAGAAGGCTGAAGGGAAGCTGAGTAACCCCAACAGCAAAGACAGTAAGGATAAGGGAGGAGGCTGGGATGTGAGGGTGGTGTGAAAGGCAAATCCCAGAGGGCAGGAACAATCTCACATTCCAACTCTGAGCTCATGTGATTACCTGTGTGCACTGCAGCAACAGTGACTGCATTCGAAGCTGTTCTGCTAGGCACCTGGGGGATCTTTGCGCAAACCTGGGAGAGCTGTACTGACTGGGGAAGCTAAAGGGCTTAGCTGATGACTTTTATCCCCTCCCTCGCCCTTTGACTTCTGGAACCATTATCACTATCATTACCCCATTGCCTCTTATCCTGAACTCTGTCCTGCAGGCAACAAACCGAATGCAAAGCTTTCCCCTGTGAAAGTAGGAGAGAAGCTAGCCATGAAGTCCTCTCCAGTGAAAGTAGGGCAGAAGAGGAAAGCTGCTGACGACAGCCCATGCCAAGCAAAGGTGAAGAAGGTAAGAACAGCAGCACTCCAGGTGGCCTGGTGTAGCACAGGGCCTAGTGTCCCCAGCCTTCTGCACATGAACTTTGAAAGATGAGCAGAAGGGTTTGAGGGACACTGGCTGAAAGATCATCCCTTAATGCTGCTGCTCCACTTGTGCCCTCTTGTTGCCTTGCAGAAGCGGGCGGCCCCCCGGCAGAGAGAAAGGAGAGCTGTGCCAACAGGCAGGAGATAGAGCCCGGCCCAGCCGAGAGGCTGCAGGGCACCCACCCAGCTGCTAGCTCCGTCACAGCTTCCATTAAAGGAGAGAAAGCCAGTCTGGGTGTGGGTGCAGCTGTGTGAGTTTGTGGTCAGGGCAGTAGTAGCAAGTCTAGCCATTGAGGAGAGGGAGCACTGGCTTGGTGACTTTCCTCCCAGCTAAATAGCCTTTTCCCTTTTTCCATTTCTTTCCATTTCCCCTAGTGGAGAAGTACTGAGAGTTGAACCCAGAGCCTTTGTGCCTGGATCCTGGACCCCAAACCTTTTAAATTTTATATTTTGAGGGCTGGGGATTTGGCTTAGTGGTTCTGCTGCCTGCCTTGCAAGTACAAGATCCCAGGTTCAATCCCCAGTACCAAAAACAAAACAAATTTATATTTTGAGACCTTTTTATATTACCTCACTAAGTTGCACAGGTTGGGCTCACACTTAGGATCCTCCTGCCTCAGCCTCCCAGAGTACTGGGAATTACAGCCACGCACTATCATGGCAGTCTAGCCTTCTCCTTGTAATATTCATCATCTGTCTTTAGTTTGGCAACATGAATTGAGCACCTACAGAGGCCTGGAACTAGGTTAGTACTGACTCACCCTGCCCCAAAAGGTGGATTAATTAATTAAACGTGATCATTACAGCTACTATGCCCCCACCCTTTGCACCTCCACCCAAGAATAAGCACAGAAATCTGACAACTCAGGGCCTAAACCAGTTCCCAGGAGACCAGTGAAACCTTTCCCATCTCTCTTGCCTGCCTGAAGCCTTTGCGGCCATCTACAGTAATGAACAAGGCTCCTTACCCGGCCGTCAGGCTTATTGGACAGTCAACTGCTTGATCTTCAAGGGGATGTCACTGAGCTGGGGCACTAAGTCAGAGCCACTGGATGACTGTGAGGGATGTGCACCTGCCCTTTTCTCATCTCAAGCCTCAAATCCTCTTCTCCTTTTCCCTCAAGCAGGATGGGAGGAATATCAGTCCTGTATATAGACAGGAGGATAGCAGTAATGTTTGTGCCTTTTATCCAGTAAGCTCTTTCTGCTTGTGTCCCAAACACTAGGCTCAGTCCATCTCTAGCTCCTGTTCTGACATTACTGTGCCTTGTATGCATCTGGGTGAAGATCCACCTGCTCAAGCGCAGGTCTGATCCAACCGACCCCTCTATGTTTGCAGGTGCTGCTGGACATCTTTACTGGGGTGCGGCTCTATTTGCCGCCCTCCACACCAGACTTCAGCCATCTCAGACGCTACTTTGTGGCATTCAACGGGGACCTGGTGCAGGAATTTGATGTGGCCTCAGCCACCCATGTGCTCGGTAACAGGGACAAGAACCCTGAGGCCCAGTTGGTCTCCCCAGAATGGATTTGGGCATGTATCCGTAAACGGAGGCTAGTAGCTCCCTGCTAGTGCTGTGATCTTCCCTGCCTTAAGCTGTACTCTCCCTTGCCACACCATCCCAGGGCTCAGGCTGGAGGTAGGTAGATGGCGTAGAGGAGGGGTGGGCTGCTTCTCTAAGCATCAAATCTTCCAAGCCCACCAACTCCTCGTGGTCTCTTCTGGACCAGGAGTTAGTCCTATGGACACCACAAGTGAAGTCAATTTCTCTTGCTGGTTTAAATAGATCTTTCAGATCTGGGTGCTGGCCTTTGTCATCTATATTGTTTTCTTTAAAAAGAAGCTTAGTTATTTTTTTATAAATAAAATACCTTGCAGTAATATGGCTCCCCTCTCGCTCCCCAGTTTCCTTATGCTAAGGAGTGAAGGCTGGGCTGTTGAAGCCCTGTTGGCAGTCTTCTCTCCCTGCCTGCTCCTTTTACTGCCAGACTCTTAGAAGCTATATTTAAAAGACTGCCCTCCAAATTGGCAAAATTTGTATTCAGCCTGGCCCCTTGTGCCAGGATGAACCTTCATTTAAAAGAAAAAAATGAACTTTGATGACTTCATACTGTGCTTTCTGTTCTGAGGGAGGGTCCCAGTTCCAAAGGAGGGGTAGGATCAGGTAGGAAATGAGGCTTGTATAGGAAGAAGGTGGTTATTTGGGCTGCTGGGGAAGCAGATGATTTATTGGAGGCTCCGGAAAGATCAGTCTGCCTCACTGAAGTCTGGAAACAGACTGCTTTTTCAGAATACAAATCCACACCTGAAGACAAGTCTACACAGAGACCAGCTCTGGCTGATTTATTTGAAGAAAAGACAATTTGTATAGACAAGTGTCATTCATAGACCTTTTATGGCAATGGAAATATCCTGAAAATCTGTACTGTTTAGCTGAAGAAACCACATATGGGTGTTGAGCACTTGACATGTGGCTAGCCCAACTGAAGAACTGGTTTTCATTTTAATTTGACTCCAAATGGCCAGAAATCAACAATGACTACCATACTGGACACAGAGGTAAAGACAGACCTGGTTCAAGTCCTGGAATGTAATAGCTCTAACCTCACACAAGTTACTTACCATCTGAGCATCAGTTCCCCTAAGTAGAATGGGGACAAGCCTGCTCCTAAATCACAGGTGCTGTCAGTGACCTCAGATACATTGTATATAGCAAAGTGCAACCTGAATAGTTGTTACAAAATTAGGAATAGCATCCTTGGCATGCATGCCCTCCCCGATCCTACCTAGACAAGAGGCCCTGGCTTCTAACTACAGAACCTACAATTCCATGTCCGCATGTTACAGCTTACACTTTGCACTGAATGTGGATTCAGATTCACTGGAGTGCTCTGTGGCTATTGACTGCTTCCTGTGTCTCATCCTTCTACCTTTTGAGGATCAGTTCTCTCTTCCCTTTTTACTATCAAATTTGTAGGCTTATTCGCCCATCTCCTATTACAGGTTAATGCGACTCAACCTCTAAAACTTTAGAATGTCTGGGCCTCTAGAAGAGAGGACCATACTCTTTTGCCCCTTGCATTCAACTAAGGTAATACTCTGCTATGAGGCTACTTGCCAGTGTGGAGGCCAACTTAGCTTCCAGCTACCATGTAAAAAGTGGGTGAGTTTAAAGGTATTAGCCTAACACTGGACATTTGGGGTTTTTGATGAGGCACTGTTCAGTCTGGATTTAATACTGGGATGAAGACACTTGTTAATCCATCCTTTGTGGACATAAAAGCTGCTCATTTGAGCACTGGTCTACACAGACTTTCAACCTTCTCCAGACTCTTCAGGCCAAGCAGCTGGGCAGTGGTAACAGACACGAAGCTCTGCTCTCCCCTCCCCTCCTGACCAAGACCCAGCCCTACCTGCTTTCACTGCTTACATTCAGGGTGCACCCTGCCAGGTGCAGGCCTTTGTTTCAGTTACAAATTTGTTTCTTGGCCCTTCTCTAGTTCCTCTGTGTTAGCTCCAACTCAGCAGTTTGTTTCCGTCCAGTCTTCCTGACGCAATTTTTACTGTGAAGATTAGACTGTATATTGTTTTGTACTTGTGTATTTCTACCTGACCCTAAGCAACACTGTTAAACTTCCCTAAATGGCAGAGCGCCACCCCCATTTGGTGGTGATGTTGGTGCTGGGGATTAAAACTTGTCCTTGTATTTGATGGGCAAGCACTCTTCCGCTGAGCTAGGCCCCAGTCAGCTCCCACCCCTTGCCCTCTTTTTAAACTTCAGTCTTGCTAAACTGCCCAGGCTGATTTTTTTCTTTTCTTTTTTTTGTTTTTTGTTTTTTATTTGGTACTGGGGATCGAACTCAGGACCTTATACTTAGGAGGCAGGCGCAATGCCACTGAGCTAAATCCCCAGCCCTGCCCAGGCTGATTTGATCTCTGCCTCTATAGTGGCTACTTGCCCTCTCTTTAGCTTTATTTTACGTGCTGGCAACAGGTATCACTGAGTGCTGAGCAGGCCAGCCATCCAGAGCAGTGAGGTCAAAGTACCATGGCCCAGTCTCAAGCCTTTGAACCCTTTTGGCAAGATTCCTTGGTGTTTTCTCCTCAGTCACAGGGCAGATGTACATGTCATTCTGTTTTCTCAGGGAGCACTCTCCCCTTCTCTGGGGCACTTGGGTCAAGGAGGTATGTACAGGCCTATGCATACACAGCAGTCTGCCTAAGAGTCTGGGCCATTCTTTTCTGAGCCACACTTCTGCTGTATGTAAAAGCTACTACATTTCTCCCAGGGTAACCTGAAGATTGCCTACCTACCCTAGCTGTCCTCAGATTCTCTTCTGTCTAGATCATGAAGGGTTGTGCTTGCAAGGCAGGTGGCAGAACCACTGAGCTAAATCCCTGGCTCTTCTACTAGGTCATTGTAAATATCTGAACTCACCTGGTGCTTCTTCCCATCCATCTTGGGATATGTCCCTTTTCTACCAGCTCCCTTCTCTACAAGACTGTTCACACCTACTACTTTATAGAGATTTTGGACAAGTCACAACAACAACGAGCCGGGATATCTTCACCAAGGGCACAGATCCAAGCATCTCCAGAAATAATGGAATCACAAGAACACACCTATGTGTACCTGGCCTGGGATTTGCCTATGTTGTATCGGTTCTTTTGTCAGTAAATCATCAGACCTTCTGGCATCCTCAGACCAGGCATCTATATTGAAACTTTATTACAAAATTATAAAGCAGAGCTCTGTAACAAAAAAATACATATTTGGGTTTGCTTCCACACCCAAATCAGAATCTTAATATAAGCCACTTGAAATAACACATTGACATCCAGGAGATTTCAACAAATTTGTACAATATATATTGAGCACTAATTCCTGTACAACTTATTAGTTTGGACCCAACTATTCTAACATATGAAGCAGTCAGCTGTGCAAGTTCTTTTAAAACAAGTCTCAACTGAAATCTCAGAACAATCACAGCAAAAGCTAATCAAAAGCATTAGATGTTTCCATGATAATTAAGACCAAGAATTCATGAGGGACAAAAAGAATTCAAGAATAAAACAGGTTTTCTGCCGGGGTTAGATATTAACTGGAATGGGATCTTGAAACTGCCAATTTTTATTTGGTATAATAAAGATAACAAAAAATCGGGGTTGTTTGACACCTTTTTTCCCAAATGGAAACCACCAAAAGATAGGCAAATTCTTTCAAAATGAGTAAATGACATCAATTCTAATTCCTGCTGAGTTTACTAACCAGCTCCAGTATTTTTTCAGTTCCTGTCTAGGAAGAAGTTGGAGGTAGGGGAGGTAAGGCTTCAGCAGAGAAAGCAAGTTGTGAGGTGGGGGAAAGCCAGCTTAGCTTCTGCCTTGAAGTTACTGCTAGATCTTAACTAAAATGCATATACACAGACCTGTTTCACAGTGGAATTGAGGAGCAGCTGATCCAGTGAGCCTTTGAAAACTAGTAGGCATCAGAAACTACAGTACTTATTGTCTAGCAGAAAGGTGAAAGGCAAGTCTTCATTGGAAAATGTCTGCTTCCCCAATTCCTACAAAGGCACCCAGAATGAGATCATCTGGACTTAGTACAATGTCCAGGTAAGTGGCCCAGTGTTCCACTGACAACTACTTTATGACAGTGTTCCACTGACAACTACTTTATGAAATTAATTCCCCCAAGAGGTGTTAGTGTTTGATAGAGGGAAAGCACAAGTATGTACCAATATAATAGGTCTTGCTAGAAGTTTCCGTTGGCTTTGCAGTCAGTTGGTCCTTCTAATCTAGACCTCAGCTGCACAGTCTGTATAGGGGGACAGGGAAGGGGTGGTAAGCATAGTTCATCATTAGTAATAGACACAGCTCTTCTGACGACATGTGTTTTGTGCTTTGCTCAGCTTCTGTATCAAGCCCTATAGCTTCTCCAGTGGTATAAAGATCCTGAAGAAGGCTCAAAAAGCATCAATACTTATTACCTAGTCCTTTATAAAGGGCCAAAAGATCTTTAACCTTTCATCTTGCCCCCAAGTCAGTGGACTGAGAAAGAAATGAAAGTGCAGCAGAATTCAGCCTTAGTATTTTCCAGTACCTCTTAGCTACTCTGTCTTACACCTCTGTACTGAACTTCATGAGAAGTTCGAGAAGAGTAAGACCTCTTACCTAGTCTCCATGCCTTTAATGAGACCAAGATTAAAAAACCTTGTTGGAAAAGGGAAGCACTCATTAAAATGTTTAACACACCTGCCAGTTAGAAAAATAACAAGTCAAAGTTAAGCAGAAGACCACTGCCTCTACCCCATACTTCACTCTTAAAATTTGAAGTAAAGGATGGTGCAAAGTCAAGCCTCAAAAAAAAAAAAAAAAAAAAAAAAAAAAAAAAGCAACAGAGATGATCCATGCACATCCTTTGCATACATATTCTGGAACTTCTTAGCAGTTTGGAAACCAGATGCTTTGTTGGTTTCCAGGGTCAGGTCAGGAGTCTGACAGTTTCCAATCCCAACACTTAAGGAAGCAACTCAAAACAATATTTGTGTTTCATTTCTCACCAGAGAAAATTTGTTCACTGTTCCAAATTCTGTCCTAAGGAGCACATTTGGTCTGATAAAGTAACATTTTTGGTCCAAAGAAACATGAATTTTAGGCAATATAGCAAGAAACTTTAAAGATAAATTAAAACACAGCTAGAGAAACCAGAAATTTAAATCCAGATGTACAGAGGAGAAGAAACCATTTCTAGCAGGACTTCTGATTGGTGAAGTAAAGGCAGGCATTTCCAGGGGATGAGTGGGATACAGAAGAGTAAAAATGTTTTTAGGCTTTCAGAGGAAGGAAGACATGGTCCATGTTCTGGAAAGTCTGTTCATCAGTTACTATCATTACTCCCAAGATCACTAAAATAGGCACTCACCCATGTCATCTGTAGCAGTTCCTACTGGCCTCAGCCACTCTGTCAGCCAAGAGGGGCACCCTGTACCAGACAGGCATGCCCAAGGATGACAGAGCATCCTTGCTTGCCCTGGTCTTGGGAGCACTGCAAAATTTATTTAGTTAGCTTGCCTCTGCAACTTGACCAACCCTGAACCCAGATACCCTGGGCTATATCTCTAAGGCACTGAAGAAGCCGGTGCGAGTCCTCAGGATCGGAAGACGTGCACAGCTCGAATCACATACTGCCGGCAGATGGGACATTCATTCATGCGCTTGCCACACTTCGTACAGGTTACCATGTGCCCACACTCCAGCAGAACACAGTCAATGGGTGAGTCCATGCAGATCTTACACAGGTTCTCCTCTACGCCAGATGGCATTGCTCCCCCTGTTCAAATAGGGCAGAAAAGAGGCAAAGTGGGTGTGAGATTGTCTTAGTGTAAGGGATAGGAGTAAGGTGAAGGTAGGAGAATGGGTCCACTGAACAAGTCCCCAAACCACACACTTTCCTTAAACCAATCTCCTCCAAGAAAACTCCCTTAACAAGCTACTCCAGTTGCTTGTTGGATTCATACCTCCTGTCAGAGGGCTACAGACTTCAGGAATACAGGATTTGTGCATCAAATATATCCCAAAACATGAAAACTAAGACAAAGTCCTTAAAGCTTAAATAATTTTGAAACAACTGAGGCTAACACAGTAAATGAGTGGTAGGGACTCCTTATCCCCTGAGGCAGACATGCAGAAATAATAAACAGGTTCAGCAAAGCTTAGATACAGAGCTATAATAGTTCATTAAGAATCAGGAGGCTTATCTATAAAAACACCACAATTTAACTGAATGATGGAGGCCCCCTGTACCATCCCACAAAATACTCCTGGGCTTCCTCTGAGGAGACAGGAAAAACTTGTCAGAGCTTACTGCCCCCTCTTCTGTGCAACCCTCAGAATTTTGCTCCTATCCTCCCACACACACACCCTGCTTATCACACTGGTTTATAACTTTGGTTTGCCTACTTAACCCCACAGACTTAAGAGAGCTCCTCAATTCAACATACTCAATTTCTATAATCATATACTTAACATTTGCTATGTGATCTGAGGGCAGACACTCATCTCTGAATTCACAAAACTTGGGTCACACATGGTAGGAATTCTTTGTCTGATAATGTCAGATAATAAACACTGCCCAAGGGAATAGTACCAGCTCACATTTACTGAATGCCTATCCTGTACCATGTGCCAGGCAGGTCTAAGACCTTTGCATGTATTAACCCACTGAATGGTCATGAAACTGGAGTATTCCTATTACTTTCACTATGGATGAGGCAACTTTATGTGACTTGCCCAACTGCGACTCTGTTTCCTTCACAGGGGACAGGGTGGGGAGAGTGTTTCTAAAGAAGCTGAGAAACTTGGTTCTTCAGCTGTTAATGGATCAGGGGGTAAAGGAAGAAAAAGACAATGCTGAAAGCCTAAGCCTGTTCCCATAGAACAACTACGTACCGTCTTGTTCTTCGGCACCAAGTACTGGAAAGGAAAGAGAAAGATGGCTAAATAGGTAATGTGTGATGGCACAAAGTGTCTCCTACCACCTTGGCATCATTTCTGAATTCCCCTCCCACACACCCACACCCCCTTCCCAGCTTGCCAAAAGTCTGGCTGGTCACTTGCCCTCATTATACATATGGAGAACTCACATGGAGCTCTTAGTGTTGCATGTGCGCTACTCATGAAAAAAGGTATTCCACTCATCTGCATGAACAAACCTGCCCAGAAGGACACTATACATGCACAATATCCTTTTTTGTTGTCTTTGAAGCCAGCATTAAAGTCAAGAAAGAATGAAGAATGTGGCTGTTTTATTTAGTCAGCCAGTGATTCTGGATAAAGTTCCCATGTGCAATCAATGTTCTACTTCCCTGGGATGGGCCAGGGATTTAGCTCAGTGGTTCTGCTGCCTGCCTCAAAAGCGCACTGACCAGAGTTCGATCTCCAGTACCAAAAAAAAACAATAAAAAAAACCATAAATCTACTTCCCTGGGAGACACTTGAAACAGTGCCATAAAGGAAGACAGACTCCACATCAGAAGCTCGGTCTATGACCAGGTAAGTAGCTGGACTCTGAAATGAGCTGTTCAAATTATCAGAAGAGAGTTTGAGCCGGGCATGGTGGCTCACACCTGTAATCCCAGCACTTGGGAGGCTGAGGCAGGAGGATCGCTGTGAGTTCGAGACCAGCCTGGGCTACATAGTGAGTTCCAGGTCAGCCTCAACTACATAGTGAGACCCTGGCTCAAAAAACAAACAACAAAAAAAAAAAAAAAAAAAAAAAAAAAAAAAAAAGAAGAGAGCTTGAAACCTTTGTCACCCACTGTTATGCAAGGAATCAAATAATGTTTGGCAGGAACTAAAGAAGGTGGGAAGGGAAGAAAGGTGAAGGCTCTGTGGTGAAGTAATTTCAGGAAATGTCAAGTTCAAACAGCCAAACACATTTCTCTTCTGCAGGACTTCTCTTCTGTATTTGAGATATCTATATATCTATATATGAATCAGTAATGGCACAGAATAAAGTATCTGTTCCCAAACTCACTTAACCACAGACGCAGATGTTGGGCAGAAGAGGGGTATACATCTCCTGAAAATGATACCATGTAAAATGGAGGTGAGTGAAAGGAAAAGCCCAAGTGTAGACAGAACAGATATCCTCCTACCATGTGTGCTAAGACTTTCTTAATAATCTCTTAGAATTAAATGTTGGCCAGGTAGCATATGGTAGGAAAGGCCATGGACTTAGACCAGAAAATCCTCAGTTCATATCTGGGCTCCACAGTAAAAGGGCGATGATGCTAACAGTGCCTACAGCATAGATAGATAGCTCTAAGGATTAAATACAATGCCATACCCAGTATTAGCACTTAACCATGAGTGACAGCTATTATTAGATGGTCCTAATGTGTAAATTGACCTTCTCCATAGCTAAATGCATTGGACTTAAATCACATTGATGCCATCATGTTTTTGGAAAGCAGCAAACACTCCATAGTTCTGTGAAAGCCAAATAACCCCTCACCTAGATGCTGGAGTCCTTTCTGATCCTTATACAGCCGTGTCACCCTCTCCATCAACTCCCACTTCTCACAGCAGCCCTTGTAGTTGACGAAGTTGCGAGCCAGGATCTCTTTTAGCTGCCGCACTGTTAGGCCTTCAATGTCCTCCAGGTGGGTCAGGTCAGACAGTGAGGCCCTCCGGCCTGGGACAAAGCTATCCTCTGAGTCAGTGGACTGCAATTGCAAAGATGAGAATGAAGGAGCTCACCTCTTACTTCCTTTCCTTTCCTCTAAGCTTTCTCTCTAAAGAGCCCAGAGCACTCATCACACTGCACTTTGGTGACTGACCTCAAGAAGAGTAGAACAGAAAAATACCTGAAATTGTGCTTTACATTGGAAAACAGACTACATCTTTTTCTGGCCCACAGTTCTGTGCTCAGGCACAGTGGTGTGTTTGAGTACCATCACCCTAATTCTGAATACTGTTCTCTCTACTGACTAAATGCTAAATAATACCCTGGCAAGTTGCTGATCTCTCTAAAGCTGTTGGCCTCCAATAAAGGCAAAATAGCAGTCCTATCACACATCAAACATTAAATGTGGACCAGGTGCAGTGGCACATGCCATAATCCCAGCTCCCTAGGAGGCTGAGGCAAGAAGATGACAACTAAGCAAGACCCTATCCCATCCCGCAACCTTCCCCCACCACCACCCCCAAAAAGAGAAAAGGGTTGATGATGTAGCTCAGTGGAAGAGCACTTACCTACCATTTGCAAAGCTCTAGATTCAATTCCCAGTGTTAGGGTGGATGATTAAATGTGGCAGTACATGAAATCACTTAACATAGGGCTTTCTTTCTCCCTCCCCTGGGAGAGTTGTGCTGCCCAGACCTCCCTGGCAGGCAGCCCTCTACACAGCCTCCACCACAGCTCCATGCCCTGATGGCTGTGCTCTCTGCACTGGCCTCTGCCTAGCTGAGCCCTGAACCTCTCATTACCTGACCTCCTTTTCCTAACAATGGCCACTGTATGCTAGAAGCAGGAGAAAAGAACAAGATTTTCACAGCAACATCCAGAGCCTGCTCTTTAGCAGCTCTTAGAAAACCAAGAGACTGGGAACATAAATGGGTCATAAGGCTCCCCAGTTTTCACTGTATCCTCACACACCAACAGCACCAAACTCCCCTGAGAACAGAATTTCAGGAGAACTTTCATCACAAACTGATTATCTTTTCTCTACTCAAGTCTGCTGAAAGGATCCTGAGAACACCAGGGAAACAAAGGCGCGGCCCCAAGCAGAGGCTCTACCTGTGTCTCATCCTCAGCAGGTGCTCTGGCTGTGCTCTCCATGTAGACGGGCTCCTCCTCTTGGTCATGAGACACACGGCCATTGGCCTGTGGGAAGAAAACAGTGCCATCACATCCACAGAAGTGTCCTAGAAGTTTGCACAGCATGGGCTTCCTTCCAGCTCACACAATGTGCAAAATGTATCCTCATTTTCCCAGAAATCAAGTCTCCCACGAGAGCATCACAAACCCTAGTCTCTTAACACCAACTCTGTCAAACAGAGAAACAATACAACAGATTCCAGTGGACATACAGCTGCCCTCCAAAAGTGCAATAATTCTGCATATCACAGCGATGTACTGACCACTACTCACCATCAGTTTATTCTCAGCTTGACCCCTCCGAGAGAAAGGACAGTCATGGTATCCTTCCCATGGCTGCTCCTCTCTCTACCGTTCTCTCTCTTGACACAGTTCCAAAAATAGTCCTCTCTGTAACTTTAACCCTGGTTTGCCCCTGGTTCTGTCCCTCAGATGAGCATGTAGTAATTTTTCCACATGGCTCATGCCATGCCTTTCTCCTTTGTGCTGAATCTCCCTGGTTTCCCTCAGTGATTCTGAGGAGACAGTTTCTAGACCCTCATCTCCCTTCCCAGGTTTGTTACTGCTGGTGATTACTCCAACCAGCTAGGCCCACCATGAGCTGGATATGTTTCAAAACCTGCTCAAATACTGCTTTCATTCATCTAAGAATCTATCAGCTTAAGACTGTAGAAGACACATGCCTAAGCGTGAAGAATTTCATCTGCTCAGAATGCTAGCTTTTCAAAAGGACTCTCTTGAGTTCTCCTTTAGGAGGTTTTACCAAAGAGCAGCCTGACTGTTTTCTGTCACCACTTATACCACAAACCCCTAACTAGATCCTCTTTAACCTCTCCTGCCTCCAGGCAAGAAAAGGTAAGGTGTGTGCCCACAGGCCTTTCCACTAGACCCAGAGAGTGCCATAAAGGGACTACCTAGGAAATCAAACTCTCCACTGGCCTCAAATGCTCATCAATACAGGCCAACAGCTGGGAATAGTGGCCCACATCCATTATTTCGGCTACTCAGACTGAGGACAGAACATGGCAAGTTCAAAACCAGCTTGGACAAAATAAAAAAAACCCAGCCTCAAAGGGCAGGGCAACAGCAAACAACTACAAGGGAAATGAAAAACAGAAATATTATCACCAACAAAATGCCAAGTAATGATAAGAACATGCATACTATGGGGATGTGTCCAAAGCAATGTCTTCATCAACACCTCTAGCTTTCTCCAGCTTTACAGCCCACTGGATCCTCCTAGACAGTGTTGCCTTGGTGTTATTTTGGAGTCTTTCAGAGACTCGTTTTCTCCTAAGTGGATAACTTTTTGTTCCCTAGAAAGAGAAACCAGGCCTTATGGTACAAAATATGCTCTTGTCTTTCCAGTTTTCCACTAGCTAAGTCAAAATCCACAACATATTCATTTACTATTTTGTGTATTACATGTTTCCTATCCTATTAACTATGGCTAGGGCCCTAAGGGTAAAGGATGGAATCCTGGAGAAGCAAGTATTATGAGACTTGTATTCTAGGTGCAGCTCATTTGTGGACTTAATGACAGCTTTATACAAGTTAGCAAACTTCTCCATGTCTGTTTTTCCTGCTTGCAAAACAGATCTCACCAGAACAGGGGAAGTAAGTTGACTATAAGGTCCTCTGAAAATCTCAGAACAGTGTGACCCATAGGTATAATCTGAAAGTTTTTAGTTAATGACAAGAAGCTTACAATCTTGCCAAGCATGGTGGTGCATGCCTGTAATCCCAACACTCAGGGCCAGGGCAGAAGGACCACTGTGCACTTGAGGCCACGCTGGGCTATACAGTGAGTTCAAGGGCAGCCTGAACTACACAGTGGTAGGTCCATGTCTCAAAAAAACTAAACAAAAAGCTTACAGTCTTTTGTTGAAAAATCCACTTGAAGGTTCCCTTAGGGAAAAATAATTCAAGTTCCTCTTCTGGTTCCCCATAAACAGGAATGCTCCAAAAACCAAGTCACAGGACGAAAACATAGCAGGAGGCAAGACCTGTCCAGCAGACCAAGAGCCAGAGCTTAGGAAAGGGTTATGGTCCAGGCAGGGAGAAAAACATGCTCCAGCCAACTAAGGAGAGAAGTGATTTTACTTTAGTTAAATTATGTTCTCATGCTGGCCTTTATGCCTCAGTGCCCGTCAAGAGCGGAATCAGGGGGCCCAGTCCTGGCAAAGGAGGTGATCATAATAGCAGTCATCACATCTTGTGTGGGAACCAACAATATGAGCACTGTAGTCCTGAAAGTTCTCAAAGCTCTGGAGACATGACAGTATGCTATTCTAGTCTCCCTCTGTCCTAGCAAGATAAAAAGTGCTCAGGATTACTAAGCCCATTTCATTGCTATAGGCTTAAAGTTTGCCCAAGGTGACCTAGCAGTCAGTACGGGGCTGGCACACAGAGCCTTCTCTGCAGGAATGCAAGCCAAGCATCGGATAACAGTTATCTTTTCTGAGCTAAAAACTCAGTATTCAGGTTTAATTGCAGTGTTGGCACTTTGTGATAAATAAGTGGGTTTTGGTTTGCAGTTTAGGCACTCAAGTCTCTTAAAGGTTTGCCACCATTGTTCTAGGTCCTGATGCCCCCCACTATTGCATGGATCATGTAAACAGCAAGGTCACTAAGGCATCTATGTAGATCCATGTGCCACCATCACTCCTAACACTAAGGTTGACCTCACTTGGGGCCAAGAGTTGTCACGTGTTTACTTTAGCTTCCCCAGGGGTTTGTGAGAAAACAGTGAAGTACTCATTTCTGTCATGATTTGGTCAATGTGCTGCTCTTGGCGACCACTTCCAGGTCCCATTGGGATGACAATAAAGCTCCCTACAGAACAACAACATTCCAGCCACTGCCACTCCCACAGTGGCCAAGAGAACAGCAGGATCCTGTCTTTTCCCACTCTCTCTTCCCTCCTCAGGGTCCTTTTGTTTAATGTCCCTGGTGATGGTTACCAAGGAATTAAATTCCTAATCCTGCTAAGGAAGACTAAAAGGTAAATTGGAGGGAAACAAAACTAAATTTGGAAAGTTAATGGTGAGTTTCCTCAAAATATTTCTAGAATAATGTATTTTTTAAAAATGTCTAACCAAGATATGTACGATTAAAAACAAACCCGGGGCCAGAGATTTAGCTCAGTGGTTCCGTCGCCAGCCTCATAAGTGCAAGGACCCAAGTTCGATCCCTGGTACCAAAAAATAAAATAAAATAAAATAAATTAAAAACCCTACAAAAATATGGTCCCATGTGTATCACCTCTGAAGAAAGCCAAAACACGAGCCTGGTGTCCAGATATCATCACTGCCTACATTCAGAGGCAGGAAGGCTTCAAATCAAAGGACCTCACCTCATACCCCACTGCCATAGTACAGGTGGGACAGGAACATGAGCTCTCCACTGGCATGGATGTGCAGGGACTGCACATGGTCATACCTGCTGATTTTCCTGAGCCTGGGGTGGGAAAACAGAGGTGGCTTGTGCAGGTGAAGAAGGGAGGCTGGGTGAGGTAGGAGGTACTGTGCCAGTGTACAGCTGAGTCAGGAAGGCTTGCTGCTCAGGGAAGTCTGGGGACAAGGTGGGGACACGAGTCCTGTCCTCCTCAGAGATCATAGGTTGCTGACCAAGCACCAAGAACACCAGCTCTTCTTTCTCCCGGCACATTTCGGTAGAGATGTCATGGAGACTGAGGTAGTCCCTCAAGTCCTTCACTTTCATCTTCATGAGCTCTTCCCGCTGAAAGGCTGTGGCTCTGAACCGTTGGCAGAGAAGGCAGAGGCCAGGCCCATTCGCCTCTTGGCTTGAACAGGTCATGCAGAAATGTTTCTTACAATCCAAACAGGTTTGCTGCTTAGAGCAAGAGGCAAAGTAAAGCATGTCAGCTCAAGAGACCAAGACAGACAATGGAGTGGGAAATTGGGGGCCACTGTGCCTGCCAGGACCAGCTCTTGTCACTCTCTTCACTAAGCTGTCTCTTGAATCCAAGAGTGCAAGCTACCTTTCAGATCTCCAATTAAAAACCACTCAGAGGCAGCAGACCTTCTGTATGTATCTGTCTGTTCATGTAGCTGTAAATTAATACTAGCAGCTTTAGAATTTAAAAAGCTCTGAATTTTTAAGTCCCCCTCTACCAATTCTTGTGATGTCACCTTGGGTATATAACAGCCTCTTTGGTGCTAAGTTTTCACATTGGTAAAAGAGTAGAGGGGTAATGATAGCAATACTTACCTCATAGGGCTGTTGTACAGATTAAGAAATGCCCTCACTGTGTGTTAGCAGTTTTAATCATTATTGCTAAGAAATACTGGCTAGTGATGAGTCAGAATTCAAATCCTACTCTGTCATTCTTTCTGCTTTATTGCTGAGGAAAGAAAGCAAACTATGAAGGTTATGTTATGGCGGTAGTGGCTGTTAGTATCAATTTATATTGAGGTGGTACTATGTGCTACCTACAGTAACTTGTCATTTAATTCTTAAAAAGCACCCTCCAAAGGAGTGGTCTTCATGAGTCACAAAGCAACTGAAGACTGGGGAGATCAAGTATTGTATTCAAGGTCAGACAGTAAAGGCAGAGCTGAGACACACTCCAGTGCTCATGATCTCCCCACACCTGTCCATGCTGCCTCACTCAGCCCCATCCCAGCTGCCAGCAGTACTAAGTCCAGAGCTTCTCTTTCCACCTCCAAACAGCCAAACCAGTGCCTTCCACAGAGGCTGGATCTGGGTTGCCTTTCTCAGCAAGGCCACTCAGAGTAGTAGGAAGTATGTGGGGCATAAGGTCACTTCCATGATAAATATTTAGACCCTACCAGAGACCCTGGACATTACATTGCTCTCTGTGAAAGCACAGGTGTCTGAGGCAGGCAATGAGCATGACTGACAGACAAGCTGACACTGCCTGGCAGCAGCTACTCCCACAGCCACAGGCAGTTCACTAAGTCTTGCTCAACCCACAGGAAGCAAACCCATGACCACTCACACCGCAGGCTGCACGAGCACAGGACCATCTGGCTGAGGTCTGATCCTGCCAAGGACACGGGTCACCCTCACAAAAGAGATAATTCCTGAGATAACTCCCTGGGATAGTCTTTGAGGGCACCCTCAGTGATCCTCTAAAAAAGTTAAAAACTTTTTATCCCATGTGACTTAAGAATTAACCCACACATTTCTGCTCCCTCTTTGTAAATACAGAGCTCTGTTCAAGCTACAAAAGAATGCCCAAGAGACAAAGATTCTCAAAGTCAAGGGCACAGGAAATGCTTGTGTGTGGCTGACGTAAAAGTCTGCACATTTAAGACAGTTACAGTTAGTATCTGTTCAAGTGTCGTTTGTATAGCAAAGGGAAAAAAAAGGACCTACGGTTTACAATACAGTTTTGGCCATTAAGATTTAGAAGGCACTGCAAAGGGACACACACAAGCTCCTTTATTCTCCACACAGTTATAACCATGCCATAAACTGCAGAGACTGACAGAAAGGACACAAGACTTCATTATCACGGTAACAGTTCTAGGATCAGTAACCATGCAGGTGAAAAATGGATGTTTTGGGCTAACATGTTCATTCAGATCTAAAATCTTCCTATGGGGAGATGAAATGTGTCTAGGATGGCTGATAGTGAAACAAAGAGGCTTCAAAGTTGTAAAGCTATGGTGCTGGCATGGAGCATTACTTAAGTCAATGCCATTTGACAAGACCTAGCTCTAAACAATTATAAAGCTTGCATTGCGCCATCAGCCAGATCGAAACAACTTTCTATTCATTCTGCAAATGTGCATGGCATATTGGATGCAAGATCAGAATGCAAAAACAGCAACTCAGCTTCTGTTACCCTCTGCCCATTAGGGACTCTGAAGTCAGCCAGCATCTAAAATACACCCTAAAAGAATAGGACAGTGCTCTGGGTTAAAATCTCAGTGTGCAGTGGCAGGAGAAAGCAAGGGAAAGGAAAAAAAGAGTTATCAACTAATATGGGCAGAATGAGCAAAGGAAATGTGTATATAAATTCTAGCAAATGGTTCAAACTAGCCAAATAACAAGATAGCATGAAAGATGAAACAGGAGAGGCAGTGTGCCTGCAGAAATACCCAGAGTATACTCCAGCTACCAGCATCAGAGCTGGCAGTGGCACCTCAGGCAGGCACACATGGGGTGCTTTGCTTTCTCTGCTTTGACAATGAGCCCTTCCTTTCCCATCCCTTTCTCACTTATGTGCCCCGGTACTGCACAGGCCCACTTTCTCACATTACCAGTCTAAGAACCTCTAGAAGTTATCATGTGAAATAATGTACATAAATGTTAGTATAAGGTGGACACCAAAAGGTAACAGAAACGCCTTTTATGCTCTTTTCCCTCTGCCTCATCTCTCAGCTTTTCCCAGTACTGAAGAACCACTCTTAGAGATTTGAATACCCCTGCTGTTTTCCCAGCTACAACTGCTCCCCCTTCAGACGGGCTCAATTAAACAAGATGAGTGCCAAAATTCACCCCAAAATTGCCAGGGCCACTGCTATACTACAGGCAGGCTTGTAGAAAAATGATAGCCTACCACTTCTCTCTAGCCTATCACTTCATTCCCTGGAAACTTGGGGAATGCAGGGGACATGAATATTCTAAGTTCTTAATATAATCTATGCTTTGCACCCAAAGAGTGCACAGGAAATATAGACCATAATTGTGGGAAAAAAAGATAGTCAGATCCATGTAATCATTTCAATTCAACTACTTTTAGAAAAGACATTTTGAAAGCCTCTGGCTAGCTGGGCGTGGTGGTGTAGAACTGTAATCCCAGCACTCGGGAGGCTACAGCAGGAGGATCACTGTGAGTTCCAGACCTGCCTGAGCTCCATAATGAGTTCAAGGCCAGCCTGAACTGCATAGTGAGACCCTGTCTAAAAAAAAAAGGATGGTAAAAGCCTCTGGTTGTTAAATATCAAATCCTTATGATAAGAATGCTGGTCCACATAAGCGTGAAATTACCAATGAAAAATTCTTTTAAAAGAAAACATCTTTAATATTCACAAAATTCACTGTGAATTACACAAAATTAATTTGTACATTTATAGCAAGAAAATACTGTGCCAGTAACTATCTTTCATCATCTAAATTGGAACATCTCCTCCCATAAAGCTCTTCTTGCCGTGGTGACTTTTCTCTGGTCTGTGTGCTGTGCATTGCAACCTTCCTATTCAACCACAAGCTCTGCAGTCAGCAAAGATGGCCTCCTCCATCTTTTCCCAAGCCCAGGCAATGCCTGACACACACAAGATATTCAGAAACTATTTCCAATTAGTAGAAAACACACTGCTAATTGTAGTCATTGCCATGGACCTAGGCACGTGGGCCTGTCACCTGTAATGTTCAATTTGATAAGCCAAATATTTCCTGGGAGGTAGCATCAGAGTTCAGGTCCAAGGTTTGGATCCCAGCTCTGTCATTTAACAGCTATGTGATCTTAGGGTGCACGAAAGCAGAGGAAAAAGAATAAGTACAGTACTTTGATGTATCTTATGGTGTTTTTCAAGAACTTGACATGTACAGTTTTCTTTTAAAATTTTAAGCCTCTGTTTATCATATGGAAAATGGGGTCTGGTGGATTCTAAAACCTGTTTATTATGAGCATGAGGATTAAATGAAAAAAATGTACCAAGCCAAGGGTGGTGGCACACACCTGTAATCCTAGCACTCAGGAGGCCGAGGCAGGAAGATCACCTCAAGTTCAAGACCAGCCTGAGCTACCTAGTGAGTTCAGGACCAGCATGGACTACATAGCAAGACCCTGTCACAAAAAGCCAGTAAGTAATAGATAAACCAACCAACCAACCGACCAACCAATAAATAAATGAATGAATGAGGGAAAAAAATACCTAAATTTTTTTAAAACCTAAAAAAAAAATTAAAAACTTAAAAATCTAAGTCTTAAAACAGTTCCTTACATATAGCAGATGGTTTTAGAAGTATTACTTCTTTTCAATTTCTCATTATTACCATCTTTATCTCATATCTTATCATTCTGGCTGCAAAACTCCCGTTCTGCCTCTTGGCTCTGGCAGTGGGAGAGCTGCACCCACACCATCACCCAGCCAATGATTCTATTTCCTGCATGCTGATCAGGAAAGCATGGCCCCCAAAGACTTCAAATGAAATCCGGTGTAGGCTCCAGCTTTGTCTGCTAAGATCTTGATGTACCTGAGGCATCTTGATAATAAGTATAGGTTAATCTGCAGTCAGGGTCTCTTCTTTTCTTTTGTGGTACTGGGGTTCTGGGGAATGAACCCAGTGCCTTAGCACTGAGCTACATTCTCAGCCCCCTTTTTATTTTTATTTTTAAATTTGAGACAGGTCTTGCTAAGTTGCTAAGTTGCCCAGGTAGGGCTAAACTTGCAATCCTCCTGCCTCAGTTTCCCAAGGAACAGTCAGTAGTTTTTGAATAGTGGTTAATGGAGGAAACAGCACTGGTATCTGTTCTGTCCAAGCACTGTGCTGGGTGTCCTTCCTAGTTTATCTCTTTTTATTCTCAAACTAGTATATGGCTACTACTGTCACCCCCACTTAACTGATGGGGAACCTGAATCTCAAGAAAGGTTCAGTTATACAACTAGTAACTGGCAAATCTGAGGTCTGAATTCAGGTCTAATGTTCCAGATCTATGATGAGATGGTTTGCTTTCATTGGAATAGTTGGTCATGAGATTTCTGTGAAAGGCACAGGACTGGGGGGCCAGCACTACACAGGGAAAGGCCAAGTGGCAAGTATTCTCAGTATGTTCCACAGGCTGGCCTAAGGGCCAAGGCTATGGGGCACAGCTGGCTGAGAGAGCAGACTCACCTTCCGGGATGTGCTTGCGAAGTGGGCCCCACAGGCCCTGCAGCTGGGTTCCGAGCCTGTTGGGGAAGGGAAGGAGCTGTACCCTGGGTTGGAATAGGCCTGTGCCCTGGCTCCCTGGGGTGGTGGGACCTCCTCAGGCTGTCCATCCAGGCAGAACCAGTTGCAGCAGGTTGCCCACATGATAAAATCTGGTACAGGAGAGGAAGGAGGGAAAGGTCAAAATGCACCCGAATCCTGCAGTTTCCATTCTCAGGGGCACAGATGAGCAAGGATACTCAGTCCACACCTCCCAAGCTAAGAAGAGGACACGTTTTCATGGATTTCTTGCTGCCTCCTCCAGCGCTATAGTTGCTGTTCCATCTAAGAGGTAAGTATAGACACTTGATTTGCCTGGGACAGGTGGGTTGGCAATTTAGTACAATAGTTTTGTAAAGCTGCTGATTCTTCACATAAATGTGTGTTGTTTTTTTTTTTACAACTAGCTTAAAACCCACTTTATTCAGGAATACAGCCTTGTGCATAGGCCACAGACAGAACTTTATCATACATACACACTTATGCATATGCACACACACAATTCCACACTAGTACTATGTGAAAGATATATATCAGTTCCTTCTTATAGAAGAGGCAAAGCCAAGTGTGTAGCACACACTTGTCATCCAGCTATTCTGGAGGCTGAGGCGGAAGGACTGCTTGAGCCCAGGAATTCAAGACCACCCTGAGCAACACAGCAAGGCCCTCTCAAAACAATTAATATAGATAGATAAGGGAACCAAGATTCAAAAATATCAAATATATAGGTAATATAGAGAGCTCTAATAGAGAGAATTCAATAAGATTCTAAAAATGTAGATCTTCTAACTTCAAAGCTAAGGTTGTCTCTTGATTTCCCCTCCCACCAGCCAGCAGAACCAATTTTTGTACCCCAGAACTGTATTTGTACCCTAATCTTAGACAAACTTCTATGACAGCACTTATAATAGTTTCTTACACAGATAATCTCCTTTCTATCTCCAAGCTTTAAGTCCCTCGAGGGCAGGGTGATTCCCATTTGTACTGTACCCTAGCAACACACATGTTAGCAGATGCTCAACGAACTTTGCTTCCTTGCTGCATCAGTCAGTGCCTCAGAGGGTTTATTAAGAAGTTCTTGCCGGAGATTTAGCTCAGCAGTTTGGTGGCCTGCCTTGCAAGCAAGCGCAAACACCCAATCCCCAGTACCAAAAAACAAAAAAACAAAAAACAAACAAAAAAAAGAAGTTCTTGATTATTATTCCCATTTTACACATACAAATACAACTATTGGAGGCTGATGATTTTTATAATCACAAAACAAAAAGGTTTCAGTCACTCAACTGTCACGACAACCTAAAGGTGGTAAAGAGGGCCACTAAAATGCCAAGCACTGCTGGGATGTATGAGCTTGTTTTCCACTGCAGACTAAGGCAGTCAACATGGATATTCTGAGCTTGAAATGAAACATTTAGTGTTGTTCAATAATTGGTTCACACAAAAGAATGGTGCTTTCTGCTCTAGTTCCTGACTCACTGTTTTAACAAAAGCACTTTCATAGTTCAAAGACAATGGTAAGCTGTAAGGAACTAAGAGACCAGCTCAGTGCGGGTCATTTTATAGTAGAAAAGAATAGAGCCCAGTCAGAACAAGTAACTTTCTGGGTCACACAGGTTATAAACCGAAGCCTTTTGAACTTTCCAACAAAATGGCCTCTCATGCACCTGTAACATAATTCATTCTCTTCTGTAGGCATTTCTGATTAATATCTGTCTCTCCCACTTGCCTGTGATTCTTAGGAGAAAAGAAAATGTGACAGTCTTTCATCGCCTCATTAGAGATGGCTCAACAAGGGCTACAGAATTAATGAATCATATGCAGTATTTAAATCTCAACTAACCACACCCTTGTTCAACTTCTTGAACATCAGAAACATTTTTCTCTGACTCAGTATTACTTTTGTGAAGGCTCTTAAATTCCCTGAACTCAGGGATCTGGGCTACCTTGTTTGAAATAAGCAGTTCACATGGAAAATGAAACAAAGAGTTCTTCACACAATGTATGTGTGTGATAAAGTAAATGAGTTCTTTGTGGCAAGAGAATGAGGACAACAGAAGAAAAAGGAATTTGTAATTCTTTAAACTCCATACTGATAAACACATCTGGGACAGTGTGTAATGATAAAAAGAGCAGTGGGTCTGGAATCAGTCCCACTCACTGTTTATGTGCAGTGTTAGCAACCTCTAACAAGTCATACCCTTTCTGTATTTCATGGTTCTCTGGACATTCTGCAGGCTGTGAGGCACTTTTAAACAATAGCTGTTGCTGTCTGTATTGTAACAATGCCTCTTCTCTAGGAAAGCAAAGATAGAAGTTAAACCTGGAGATTTCACCTGGTTACCACTTGGTTTTCTGGGTTTGTCTCCTCCAAGAGGTGCTTCATTAACTTGTTAAAATCAATACTCATTCACACATGCATATAGCCTTAATGAAGTCTTTCCAGTGCAAGGTGAGTAGGTTTGTTACCCAGACCCATGTCTAGTAAAAGAACTGGAAATGTAACACTCAAAACTGGAATTTCAGAATGGTCAACATTTAAATCTCAACTAACCACATATATTCAAGTTCTTGCACATCAAAACATTTTTCTCTGACTTCCTGGGGCCCAGGGCAAATCCAACCTTTAGCAGAGGTTTGTACAGTGTATAGGGTGGGGTGTCAAGTAGATTGCAAAAATGGAAATGATCAGCTCTGTAGGGGCAGAGGCATGACTAGAAAAGACTTCTCAAAGTGCCAGGGCTTGATGTGAAAGTAGATGGACATTTACCACAGCGACTTTTTTTTTTTTTTTTAATTTATTGTGTTGGTACCAGGGATAGAACTCATGACCTGGCGCTTCAAGAGGCAGGTGGTGGCACCACTGAGCTAAAAATCTCCAGCCCTGGAATGGAAATCTTATGAAAAGGACAAATGACATGTACCAGGGCATCAGAAAAACTACAAAATGATGCTAGGTGTGGTGGCACACACTTGCATTTGGGAGGCTAAGGCAGGAGAATAGAAAATTTGAGGCCAGTCTAGGCAACTTAGCAAGACTCTCAAAACAAAAAGTAAAAAGGGCTAAATAGCTCAGTGGTAGAGTACTTACCTAGTATGTGAGGCCCTGATTTCAATCCTCAATGCTTCAAAAGAAAAAAAAAAAAAGAAACGAAACTACAAAGTGCCCAGCTGGTCAGGGGTAGCGGAAGGCTGCAGTAGATGAAGGTACACAAGTAAACAAGGAGCCATGGAAAAACCTTGTATTCCAGAGTAAGGAATCTGGACACGCCGAGGCATTTAGTAATATGACTCACTGAGGCATTTTAGGCAGTGAAGTTTTATGATTTTATTTGCATGTTAGAGTGCACTTACAGCAGTAAGCACAGTGAAAGGCAGATCAAGAGGAGAGTTGGAGCAGAAATCTGCGACAGTAGCAGAAGCAAGAGAAAAGGATAAGAGCCTAAAAGGTGGTAGTAAGCAGTGGGCTGTTATCGCTGAGAGCTCTAAAACGTTCGCCAATGAGGTAGGAAAAGATAGAGCTAAAAGGGGGCCCAAGACAAATCCAAGGGTCTCAATTACACAAAAGATAACTGGTGGACTAATATGAGATAAAGTCTTCAAGAGGCAGTGCATACACACGTGTATGGGGGTGTATATGTGTATGTGCAGGAGAGGGGCAGGTTAAGATGGTGAGCTGAGTAAATACCCAGGGTTTATGCTGGTGCAGACACAGGACCATGTACAAGTCTGTGCTGAAGGGCCTACTAGAAGTGCATAAAGCCAGAGTGGTCTGGGTCAGAAATAAAGTTCCTTGAGACCTTGAGAAGCGAGAGGAAAGCCAACCAGCAGAGCAGAGGAAGAAGGATGCTCACAGGAGGAGAAACTGCAGGAATGGTTGAGTTTCCAAGGAAATTAAAAGACTACATACAACAGGGAATGCAAAATGCCCAGTGGACTTAGCTTTAGCAAAGTGCCAGGGTGCTCTTTGCCTGAACAGTTTTAAAGAAGCTGACTGATATCCTATAGATTGGAAAGCAGATAAGAAGGAATAATTCGTAAGACTCCAAGAATATTCTTCCAAGAAACTTGTCTGTGAACAAAAAAAGGCAGTAGCTGAAGAGGATCCAGGGAGATAAATGTAGATACATTCACAGACTGAATAGGAAACCCCAGAAGACAGAGTGTACAAAAGGGAAGTTGGCAGTTAATGAGGAAATAAAGGCTAGAAATGATGAAGTGACTGGACTAGGAAGTGACCTCCTCCAGGCCAGAGAAAGGTTACCCTTTTACCAGAGAGTGGAGTGGAAAAGAAGGCAGATGAAACCAAAGAGAAGTTTACAGCATTAGCCACAACAGTAAGATGAAAGAATGAAATGGAAAGGGTGGAGAGTCATTAGATTTAGCCACAAGAACTTCCACACAAGGAATATGCACAATGTAAATTTTTCCTGGAAGGTAAGGACTCTGCCACAAAATGGGTATACCCACTTGGTAAAGCATATGCAGCAGGAAAAACTGGAAGGCTTTATGTATGTGCTTTACCAAGCTGTGTGGTAAGCACTGTGTAACAAACGGTGCAGAGAGATGAAACCACCAGCGTAGGCTAGTAAAAGCAATGGGGCACAGACTTATTTACCTGGGCAGAAGAGGTGGACTGATGGTAAGCAAGAGACCATCAGTACTGAACTGTAAGACCTAAATTACAAGCCCATGCTAAATGACAAAGGGCCTAGGGAGACAGTGCTCTAACCCCCTCCCATTATAGCCATAGCCCCAACCTTTGTTCTAACCCTGGCTTAGGAATGTAAGGCAATCTTGTATGTTTGAAGTCCGGATCCAAATTAATGTATAAGTTAGTGGTTCTATACTATGAAATACACAGAGACCCCAAGTTAATTACTGTTTGCTCATCCTGAATGTCTTGTGGCCTTTGAACCATCCTATAAATATCTGTTAATCATCAATGTGACTGCTGAGTACGTGACTGCTGACCACCAGCTCAAGTCAGCAGACCTTTGTCCCCTGCCTGCAAGCCTAAAATGTTAACCCCCCTTTCTACTCCCCTATAAAAAGGACCTCAGCCCCTGAGCTGGTGCCTCTCTGAGCTACTTGGTTCTGAGAGTGCCGTCTGGCC